ATGTGAATATTACATAAATTCATCTTAACTCTTTAAAGTCCTGGTCTTCCTGATAAAGTACCTACCCCCAGACTCCTGCTCCACCAACCAATACATTGTCCAAACACCAAATTTACATGTCCCAGTTTTTATGGTTTACGTTTCAGAGGCATTTCTAACTTGCCTGTGATATCCAGTCCCCTCCACATCAGGCAGATTTAGGGCTGCTTGGTATAGCACTAAATTAGTGAGTGGGATGGAACTGTGTTTTTATTGAAATCAGCCCTAGTGCTCTGTTGGGACCTCACCCAGTGATTTTAGGTTGACTCTAACAGGTGTATATTGTGAGAGTGAGGAATGAGCAGAGCCCTGTGCTGCAGTTTAAAATGCTTTTGGAATATATAATGACTGGGATGAAAAACAAAATGATGTTTATTTTCCAAGCAGATTTGAAGCATCAAAAACAATGTTTTTCACTTTGGAGTGAATCTGATAGAGCTTATTTCCGTTCATCAGTGTAACATCTGACTTGAGCAGTGACCCCATTACCTGCCTGCCCAGGAAAGAACACAATGAAACGTGCAGCTGTGATGCTGCACCACTGCCAGCACTGTGGCTTCCCCTTGGGAAGTGGGTTCACCTGTGGCTCTGGCCTTAAGAATCTGCTTTAACTCCCCTCTCAGTGCCTCTACCCACTTAATGTACATTTTTAACTGAACCACTTAAAAAAAGGCTGCATTTTAAATTTTGAACTTTAACATTCAAAACTGAGCAGAACAGCACCATTTGAATGTTCTTCACAGAGATGTACATGGACAGGAATTGAATTTTGATGAGTCTTTGCGGTGTTCTTTGAAAGGTGTTTCTTTCCTCTGCCTTCCACTTGAAAGTGGATTGATCAAGGACACTGTGTTATAGCTTAATTAAAAAAATACATCTGTGCGTGTACCCAGTGCTGTTCTGAAGAGGGAACACCAGAGAGCCCTTTTGTGGCTCGGTAGCACCACTTGTAGTGAGATGTGGAGGCTGTGTGAGTGTCTCTGCTCTGCACCTTCTAACCCACTGAATGCTGTCCAGATTTCTGTGCCTTATCTAGAAGGGATAAAATAGAATAGAATGGTTTGGGTTGAAAGGAATCTTAGAGCTCATCTCATTTCACCAGGGCAGGGACCTTCGGCTAAACCAGGGTGCTCCAAGCCCCGTCCAACCTGACCTTGGACACTTCCAGGGCTGGGGCAGCCACAGCTTCTCTGGGCAACCTGTGCCAGGGCCTCCCCATCCTCACAGGGAAGAATTTCTTCCTAATATACAATTTAACTCTACTCTCTGTCAGTTTGAAGACATGAATCCTCTTACATCAGCAAGTCTGAGTGCCTGTGCTCTTGGATAGTGGGGACACGATCTAACAAGTGGTTGTGGAACAGTTGCATTTGCTGTGCCCATGCTGGGTGTCTCAGTGCCCATGTCACCTGCTTTCTCTTGTACTGTGTCAGAGGTTTGGAGCTCAGATTGGGCTGGGTTGCCCAGCAAAGTGGCTTTCAGTGTATGTTGTGAAGCTGTATTACTTAGTGGATTCCTTCAAAATCTCCTTAATAGTTTAAGTACAGCCAGCAAACCCTGGTCCCAAACAAAGCATCAACAAATAGAAGCATCTTATTTCAGTGAAGAGGTAATAAAGCTATTTGTACTAATGGCCCTAATAATGATCTTGTTTGAAAGCAGCACTCTGTGCCTGGACTTTGTTATTTGCCCATTAAGACAAATGTTGCCAATTATAAAATATTTAGATGCTTATTGATGGGAAAATTGCCTGTGTAGTGCTGAATTTAATATGAAAGAAACAGAATATGCTGTGTTTACTTAGCAGGATAACTCATGCTCCTGTGAATTCAAATATTTGTCTTAAATATACGAGGGTTTTCTAACCAGTCTTTGAGCAAATGCTAATCCTACAGTGCCTGTGAACTGCCTGATTTTCTTGCAGAAAAACTGAATCAATAAATCCATATTAATGACACATTTAGATGAAAAAGGTATTATCTCATCCTGCCATTTCTTAGATCATCTAGGGGGGAACTGCATATATCTTGTTCAGCCCAACACTGTTATCAAGAAAGAAACATTTCTTGTTATGAACAGCTTATGTGATGGTTTAATAGTAACAACTCTGGTAGTGGTCACATTTCACTGCAGTTCTAATCAGGGGCAGATTCTCAGATAGAAATGTTGCTCTGGTTACCAGTCCATGTCAGAGGACTGCATGTCCCCTGTGCCTGCATGTGTTGTGATGTGTTTGTTCTGCTGTATGGACACATCTATAGAGTCACTGCTGGGAAATGATCCTGGTTTGGGCTCTGCCAGTGCTTCTGTATCCCTTGGATGGGTCCTGACCGCTGTCCCTCAGGACTGAGGGGATTTCCATTTTCAGGATTCCTTTCTTATCCAAGTGTTAAGGTCTGTCCCTCTGATTGCAGGGGTATTTCTTTAGGGTGCAGTCCTGTTCTTCCCTCCACTTCCATGTTACACCTGGAGCTGCAGCTGGGAGTGTTCATTCAATAACTCCTGTTGGGGTTCAGTCCCATGGAACTGCCAGACTGGATGGGGCTTTGAGGAACCTGGGTAGTGGAAGGTGTCCCTGTCTGTGGCAGGGGGGTGGAACTAAGTGAGCTTTAAGGTCCCTTCCAACCCAAACTATTCCATGATTCTATAAATTAAGAGTTTTTTGCCCGGTGTTAAACTCTATTTCTAGTTTTGTGAGCCAGCCCACAGGCTGGTTTGACATGATGTGGTGCTCTGATAGAAGCAAACATGGTTCTAAGTGATCTCTTCAGATTGTTTTATTCAGCACATGGATGTTTTGCTTAAAGGCAAAGCACAGTATGAATCGGTCTTGTTTAAATCGCTTTTAAAAGAGGAATAAGTAGGACATCAGGTGCAATAAAAGCTAAATACACAATAACCTGAGCAGAATATCATGGCAAACCATGCTTCAGAGTATAAAGGTACAGAACAATGACAACAGGTAGAGATTTTTTACAACAAGTACAGTCTTTCCACACCATGAAAGGCCAGTTGTGTGGATTTCTGTGCTGATTTCATCTTAATGTGCCACATCAGGTGCTGCAAAGTGTACAGGCTGAGCTAACAAAACAGATCCTGGTACTACTGAACTGTGTGAGACATAGATAAGGCTGAAAGCATTCTTTACCAATTGTTGGGATTTTCTCTAATTGTTACCTGAAACTGGAGAGAATTTTCATTTGTGCCTGTTCTGCTCCACAGTGACATTGGTGGTTTTTGTTTGTTTGGGTTTTTTTGTTTGTTTTTGGGGTTTTGTTTGGTTTTTGTTTGTTTGTTTAGTTCAGCCTTTTTAAAATTTAGGGTGATGAGATTAGGTAATTGTTGCAACAGTGGGAGGTTTAGGAGGGGGGATGTCTGGAGGATGTGACTGTAGGAGGAAATAAGAACTCAGGGAATTTAGGGTGTAATCAAAGGGAAGGGAAATATGGAACGTGAGGTTGGTTAGTGCTGATGGGAAGAGTGTGGCAAGAGCACAGGGAAAGATGGCTCTTGGCCCCTTGGCCATAGGATTGGGATGTTGGGTTGCTCCCTATGTAGGTTGTAGGATGATGACAATCAAACACAGGGCCAGTATTTGCAAAATGTGAAATGTGAGTCCCCACAGCAGCCAGAGCTGGACCTGGAGCCAGTGGCAGGAAAACACCATCAGCCTGGGTGGTACCAGGACCAGTGTGTGAGTGCAGAACTGCAGGCAGAATAGGTGGGGAAGCTCTGGGCTGGATTAAATGTTTCTGACCTGACAGAGAGAGCCCCAGAAATAACTTTTGTAACAACTGAGCAACTCCTCAAATGAAATAGGTAGGGGGAATAAAATAGGTAATCTTAAGTCATATGAGATCTTTTAGATGTTTGAAAGCAATAGACAACCCTGAGGGGTTTGAAATACTGCCTCTCCTAAAAGCAAGGTACCAGAAAGGTGCTAAATAGACTTTAGGATGACTCAGAGTTTTCTTAGCCTGGCACTAGTGCCTGTACCTGTTGCACACAAAGTGCATCAGCCTTTTCTCAGTTACAATGTGCTGTTTGAAGGCCACAGACATGGTTTATTCCTACAAAAAGCAGAGGCACAGACTGAATTACTGCAGCTGAAGGTGAGTGCTTTACATGCCACCGACTTGCACACAGAGTTTGGAAATGATTGCAAACAGCATGTTGCTTCCTTATTCCTAGTGCAGGAGTGTCCACCCCCCAGTATCCACCCCCTGAGTTCAGGGGAAAGCTTAAGTAAGAAGAGAGTGACCCAGGACATTAATTTCTCAATGTATAGAAGTCCTATCTGCTATAAACATCTTATTTCTTCATGTACTGAACTTAGCCAGGGGGATATTTCTAATGACTCCACACAGCTTTTACACAAAGCTAGATTCAAATTATTGTGCATTTTAGCTATTCCTGATGGTCAGATCTGTGGGTCTCATTAGTGAGGGTTCTGTGGAGATTTCTGTGACTTTTTACGTCATGGCTTAAAAAGCTAATGAAATATTCAAGGATATAATACTCCTATATCACAATAAAGAATGTAAAAGCCTTCATATGAGTCAATCTTATCAGGTAGCTGTTTAAATCACACCATCACTGATACTGTGATTCCTTTTCACTTGACTGATTTCAGTGCAAGAGAAACATTTACTTTCACCCTTTCAAAATTTACTTGGGTTGCTTTATAGCAAACAGCATAAATATCAGTCTGTTCTTTCATTGAAAGGTGGAGGCATGGGAGTAGGTGTGGAACAATGTTGTTGCCTGTTGGGCTTTTGAATACCTTTCCACAGAGGTAACTAATGGAATCTTTTAGAAACCACTGACTTGGTGGTGGCACAAAGATAAAGCAACAGGCACAAATGAATGGTAGAGAGAATATTATTTCAGTCTCTAGAAGGTAGTATTCCCTTTCAGGATTTGTTTTTCCCAGTAAATTTCTTAAGCTATTTTTAAGCCACTCTGGATTTCCTTCTGTTATAACCACTTAAAAAACTTCCTATAATTCAGTTGAAACTGTTTCTCGTTCTGAAAAGTATGAAACAAGGCATCATGTAGAAGGCATTTTTCTTTCCTGCACCCTTCCTTCAGGCACTGCATTAAAAGTGAGCTGCTGTGTATCTTGACAATACATACATATAAATGCATACACCTATTGTGTGCATTTTCCACCCAAAGCCAGATGTTTACAGCATGCACTGTCCCACACTCATGCCATAACAGCAACACACTATTTCTTTGAAAGTCTTTCTCATCTCCAGACTCCGGAAAGCATAAATGAGTGGGTCAATCACCGAGTTGCACATTATCAACACCAGGTAAGTGTTGAAGTGTGAGGTGTAGCAGATGCAGTATGGATTCATCGGGCAAGAAATGATGAGGATGAGGTGGAGGAAGAAAGGTGCCCAGCAGACAATGAAGACACCCAGCAATATGGTGATGGTGACAGCTCCCTTCATGCAGGTCCTCTGGTAGGGCACCCCTTCCACGGGCAGGGCTGCGATTCGCTTCACGTGCAGGCGGGCGAAGAGGAACATGTGGACATAGAGGGAGGCCATGAGGAAGAGCATGGTAAAGAACATGGTGATGAGACACACAATGACAGTTTTGCTCTCTGAGTAGGCAATGAATATGATGCCACAGATGATACAAGCAATCCAAATGACCACAATCAAGGTTAAAGCTTTCTTCACAGTCATGATGCTGTGGTAACGGAGAGCATAGAAAATAGTTATGTACCTGTCAATGGCTATAACCAACAGGTTGCAAATTGAGGCTACCAAAGAAATACAAATCATTGAGTCAAAAACATTGTCCATGTGCTGGATGAAGTGGTCATCAATGATCAAGTAGCCGTTGCTCAGGATTGCAATCATGACAGTCTCCAGGGCGTTTGACATGCTCACCAACATATCTGCCACAGCCAAGCTACAGAGGAAGAAATACATGGGAGAATGTAGGTTTCCATTCTTCAGCACTGCAAGAATGACAAGGATGTTTTCCAGGAGGCTGATGATCCCTAAAGTCAAGAAGACCTCGGCTTTTATGAAGACCTGCTCACAAAATCCATCGCCACTTCTGTTGTTCAGAGTTGAGTCGTTGAAGTCTTCGGTGACATTAAGCAGCACAGGTTGAAATGAAAATGCAGAGTGTGTGGTATTCATTGTCAGCAAAGGAGTTGAATTCACAACTGATTATGGACCTGACAGAGCACAGGTTAAAAAGGGAAAAAAGGGGAGAAAGAAAAAGGAAAACAAGTCCTTCCAACTGCTGCTGTGCATAGGGGGTGGAATCAAACAGGACTTTTCTTTGGTCACTTTTGCAAGTGGAAACATAAAAAAAAAAATATGCATTTACAGTGAGCTTTATGTCAGTCACACACTGCTTTTTCCTGTGTAAGTAAGTGAGCTTCAAGCCTTGCAGGTATCAAACAGTTTTCTCCGCAGGGAAAAGTCAGCAGCAGCACATTGCTGGTTTTAGCTCTCCCGGTGATTAAAGGTGGGGAGTTTTCCCGTCTGCTGGGGCAGGTTTGTTGCCAGCATGTTGCAGCTCAGCGAAGTATCTGTTGCTATTTCAGTGGCAAGAAAGGAAAAGAGAACTAAGGGATTTATACGTGCATGAAAGAAAAACCAACTCCTACTTCATCCTCCGTGCAGAGCATTGGCCATTCCAGAGCGAGCACCTTTGTGACTGACAGCCACAAGCACCTGGTGCAGCATCCCCAGCACATCTGAAACTGTCTGGCGCCCTCTGCAGATACCGAACAGGAGCGATTGGCTTGACAATTCCTCTGAAAGGTGGGATTTTCATCCAGCAAAACTTTATGCCTGCTCTGGGCATGCAGCTCCTGTCCAGGGAAGGGGTGGACCATCCACACACCTTTGGGCACCTGCACTGGAAGACACCTCTCTGCTGGAGAAATGAAACAAATTTCCACGTGCCTTTCCTTTCTTTACTCTTTCAAAAAGATCTTTCTCTGCAGTCACTGCTTTTGCTCACAGGATCCCACTGTGACCGGTCTTAACTGGGGTTGTACTGATTTAAACCTATGAAGGACCAGGGAGATTTTCATTTATCATTAAGTATAAAGTAGATTTTCCTTGCACTTTATTCATTCTATATCTCTCTGGTGAATTTTCTTAGTTTGGTTTTTTGATGGCACCTGCTGATATTTGAATACTTCACAAACTTTTCCAGTTTCCTTTTGAGTCCACAGAATTATTATAATGCACCCATAATTCAATAGCGAGAGGCAACAAATCTCAAGTTCAACCTCCATATGATAGTTTTACAAGGATACCATTCAGTGCAGTAATTTTAAGTTGAATAAATAGCAGGGAACTTGCTCATCAAGTTGTACAGTTAATGTTTTAAAGATCTTAGTTGGTCTCTCCCTAAATTCACAATGGTGTATTTTAAAGCAGATATCTTAAAAAAGTATAGCAGCAAGCTGGTTCCCCCATGCCACTAATCCCATGGCAGGGAAAAGATATTCCATCTGTCCAAGTGTCTGGATTTAAGCCTTGAGCAGCTATCTCTGTTTTGAGCCTCAGTGCCTGGTTTCCAGCTTTTTTTGAGCTGATGGAGTACGCTCAAGATAGTGATTTTTAGACATAATAACTATCACTGCCCTGGAAAATGTTGTTTTGCAGCTGAGCAGGAGCCCATCTTTGCAAGGCTGGGCAGGTGTCCCTCCCTGCCAGCTCTGTCCTCGTGTGCTCCCTTTTGAAGTGGCAGGTGGAGGCTTTGTCCTCCCAGGGCAAGAACAGGATCCAAAGGCTCCCATCCGTGCAGGAGAACTTTCCCTGCAGAGATAACATCCTTCTGGGCTTGGCTCTGGACTACCTGCTGATGGAGGGGCACTTAGGTTTGAGGCACCCACACACACACCAATTTACAGGAGTGCTTTGCCATTTACATTCCAGTCCTGTGCTCCCTATCTGGACAGTCTCAGCAACATACTGTGTTAGTCCTGTAAATGTCCACTCCAGAAGGCTCCATCCCTTGATGCCACACTGTTTCAAAAGACTACTACAGATTTTCCCAGCTTCACCTGAGAGTAGGAAGTCATTAAATGCGTTGCATCATAAATTTCTGAATATATCTGACAGCAGGAATCAAGCTTCCATTTGCTCTGGGATGCAATTTGAAGTGGAAATTGAATGTTATATACCAAAGTGGATTAATGGCACTATCAGCTTTGCCATTAAATGCTAAAAATAGTGGGCTAGAGCCTCATGTATCTGATAGCAAGCTCAAACTGACTCTGGGTGAGATTTTTGCAAAAATGGGAAAAAGTTGCTTTTGCACAAAAGACAGCAACACGTAAGCCCTTATTTGCAAAAGGTATAAAGGGATTTCAGCATTGCAAAACTTACATGATCTGAAATGCCACAATATATTTTACAATCTATATAACCATTTGCTGCCCCTCAGCTGTCAGCTCCTGCCTCAGTGCCAGAGATACAGGCAGTGACTGTGATTATTGCAGTGCCAAACAGGTGGTTTGCTCTCACACCCACCACAGTGTGGCAGTGGATCTGTGTCCTGGGTATTGCTACACTGCATCTGAGGGGTGGCAAATCACTAAAATGCACTAAAATGATGATACACATTCATGTCCTCGATCTCCTGGATAGTGGAGTCCACTTGTCTTGGGTAGGGGAGCATAGCTGTGACAGGGCAATCCAGGGCATATTAAATGAAATGGTAACTTGGTTTAGGTCCTCCCTAGAAGATTGGAGCGTTAGGGGTGTGAGATGTCTGTGTGTACTCCCCCAGTTTCGCCTTGTCCGTAGCCCCGTCAACCTCTTTTCCCAAGGCCTCAAGCGGAAAATCTGCAGCCTGGGATGTGCTCAGGGCTGTTGTCAGTGCAGATCCAGGATGGAACTCCTGCAGGTTGGGTGGGACCAGTCAAAATTTTGGGTCTCTGGGCTTTGCTGGATCATGGTGAGTCAGTGAACTTATGGTATTTCAGAATGTTTCCTTGCAACTCTGTTAATGTACATGAAGTGCCATCTTCTATTTTAAATCAGTGACTAAAATACCCTTCTCACCTCTTGTCTTGGGCTCAGCAGTCCATGACTAATGTTCCTGCCCTCAGCCTTCTCTCCAAGTATTCTGAGAGTACATTTATTTGACGCCAAGAGCATTGTCCTATTTCAACTGTGCTCTTGTTTATTCCCTGCATTCAAAATATAAACTCACTATTGAAAATACCGACAGAGCCTTTTAATCCCATGGTGTGCTGAATGATAGAAGTCCTTGGTCACTGTCCCTGTAGTTGCTACCAATTCTTTAACTTGGAGGGTCCAACTGAGAATAACACCCTTCTGTGCTTTTATAAACAAGCAATTTAAAACCCCATGAAAACGAAATTTTTTAGCATCTTGAAGGTCAGATTGTGAAAATGAACAACGAATTTCATTGTGAAAATATCTCACTAATTGTGGAGGCATTTCAACACAACCAGCACCAGCATTTCCTTAGAACCATATAGTGGTTTGGGTTGGAAGGGACCTCAAAGCTCATCTCATTGCACCCCCTGCCATGGGCATTTGGCAATATGTAGTGGCCTTTTCCTTTTAGAGTGAGTTCAGAGCAAAATGGATCTTTGCTGTTATGTACTCTGGGCTACTGATTGGAGCTCTTGCCAGGGAAGTAAAAATCTAATTTCCATTCCCTTTTTTTACCTGAAAAGATGAGACAGTTTATCTTTTCATGTATCATCAGCACAAGCCTGGATTTGTCAGGGGTTTGCCCTGTACTTTCAGTGCTCTCTGAACTAGCAAACCATTTCTTTACCAGCATCCTCTAATACACCCTTGCCATCATATTTGCTTATCTGCCAAGGCCAGGGCTGTTATTTGCTATCTGAGGCTTCCAAACTTAAAATTATTATCTAGTCCAAGAATCTGGTACTGAAAATTGTGTTCATCATATTGAACAGATGGATCTTTGGAAGAATCATGAGAGCCCTTAAAAAAATGTCAGGACAAGCCACCCTAAGCCCATATAGATGAAATGGGTTAAATGTGGAAATTATTGGGATGTCTCTTGTTGAGGATGATTTTGTTCATGTTCTTCCCTAAAATAACTCCCTAAGGAAAAAAAAAGCTGTAGATAAGAGGATGTCAGCACATTTATGTAATATTGGCTTTGATGAAGGCAAAGATTTAGCTTTTTCAGCTATCAGCAGAAATGACCAATTTTCCTGAGTAAAACCTTCTATCATGTTTTACAAAACAATCAATATTGTAAAGCTTCTTTTTTTTTTTTTTTAGTGCTGCTATTACTTAGTTGTTTCTTCGTTAGTGAAACTATTTAATCTTCAGGGAAATGTAAAGTGAAGGTAACATTTGCTGCTACATGTGGATAATGGATTTTCCTCAGGAAATTCCCTTGTGAGGTTGTTGAATGAAAAATCTTGTTTAACGCTTGACATGAGATTAAGCTGATAATGGCTGGTAAATGCATATCACTTTCCTTTATTTTCACTCTCTTTCCACAAGAGTTTGTGACAGATAAAATTGGAAATTTTGAAGGAAATTAGAAGATGGTTGCTCCCATGTGGTTGCTCCCACGTAGCAGGTAGTTAATACTCTCCTGTAGTTCTAAGTAGCCAAAATAGTGAGTGAAAAACTCTTGAAGACCTCTGCTGTTTTATTCTGTATAAAAAAGGACTTAACAGATTGAATATTTAATCTCAGCAAAGCAAAGTGTTCTGGTTTTGAATTCTGTGCACATTTCACGAGTGCCCATTACATTCCAGGCTTTGATTTGGAATATCTGTAAACATGTGCTTGAATTCATCATCTGGGCACTCCAGGATCGTTGCTTAGCTCTCTGCTGACCTACAAAGTTATTTGGTGCTGAAGAGCTGCCTTAGTAGAGTTTAAGTTTTTGATAATAGAACCCTTGACCAATGCAATAAATGATATTTCAGCTCTTCTTCACCAAGTGACTTTTAAATTATGAACTGCTTGAGTATTGACTTAGTTCTAGAAAAAAACCTGTTTACTATTTTTCACCGAAAACATGGAGGTATCACTAGTTATACTTAATAGCAGAAATGCAGTTTGGGATGTTGTGGAGATTCTAAAACTCAAAAAAACTGGAAGTAGGAACCTCACAAGAACGTGGCTTGTGATGAAACTGATGTAAACACTGAGGTGATTAAGTGTTGTCTACTAAAATGCTGTGCTTTCCTTCATTGTCTTATAGTAACAGAGTCACAGACTGCAGAATCACTTGCAATATCAGCTATCAGATGCAATATTGGAAAGGTTTCAGTGTTGTTCTTCCAAGAAATT